TGCCCGACGTAAGACCCGCCCCGTGCGCGCGGCCCCCGGCCGAGGCCGCCGCTGGCGGCAGCGGCGGGGTGGCGTTCGCAGCCGCGGCGGGGCCCCGCAGGAGAGGGAAGATGGTCTCACCTGGCAGGGCGGCGCAGACAACGAGGGCGAATGGGCATGATGATAAGGATAAGGACAAGGATAAGGATGACGCCGTTGGGGGTCTGTGTCTCTAGCTGCACATAGCTTAAAGCACTTCGCTGACCCCTGGGTTACTTTACGGATGCAAGCTCCCTGGACCGTTGCCAATCCTGGGGACATGCCTGGGGTGCCCCCTTCCCTGGTCTGCTCCAGAGGGACGGGAACCCCGCTAGCAGGGAGACCCTGCTCAGACACGTTTGCTGGTGTACAGTAGCAGGAAGGTCGGCGCTGATCAGGAAGGGGGGGCGGGGGAGAAAGCGGAGAAGGAGGTCAGGAGGACGGCGCCGATCAGGAGGGTGGAAGAGGGCGGCGGAGGCGGACGAGGACGAGGGCTCAGGAGGAGCACGCCGCCCTCGCCGACGACGAGGGCGCGATGTCGCCCTCGCCGCAGGGCGCAGGTGGAATAAGACAAGGCACCATACACTTTGGTCGGGAATGTCCCTCTACATGCGGATTTTGGACAAAAACTTAAAAATAGCCAAAACAGATTCAGAAATACAAGAAATGCTCAAAACATCGTCCTCATATTATTTGTTCAACCTATTTTTAGACATTCGTCTTGTAGAGGGGCATGCCCGACTTAAACATACACATGAACTCTTGACGGTCCGCGCGGATCTCTTAGATCTGCGCTGGGCCACCCTGGCGGCGCCTCCGACGCCGCTCATGGCGCGCTGCGCGCGCCATAGGGGGGGGGGTCCAGCGCAGATCCAAGAAGTCCGCGAGGACCGCCAAAAGTTTATGAGTGTGCCGTTTGCCACTCTTCGATTAGTAGGCCTCTGGCGTTCTGAAACGCTCGCCCTGGGCCTTCTCTGGCGCCGCAGCGAGCTCCCCAGAGGTCCAGAGGGCCTCTGCGAAGCCGCGCCGCCTTCTGAAGAGGCCTGCCCCCTCTCGCTTTCATTCTCGGCGGCGCGCATAAGGGGATTAGGGGGAGGGGGGAAGGCTTCTTAGGAGGAGGCCGCTTCTTAGAAGGCACGGGCCGCTTCTTACAAGGCTCGCGCCTTCTGAGAAGCAGGGGTGCTTCTAAGAAGCCTTCCCCCCTCCCCCCACCCCCCTCTGCGCGTGGCTGACATTCTCAGCGCGCCGCCGAATCCTGTGGATACGCGATGCGCAGTCCCGTGGGCGCATACGGTCCGGAACTCGTGTCTCGGCAGCGGCCCGGCGCTGTCGCTGCACCTTGCACCACGAGAGCGTGCCGCTTCGCGCCGCGGGGCGGGAGTCTGGAAGAGACCAATCATTGCACCAGCCTTGCAGACGTGCTGCAGCGGATTTCTGCGTGGATTTTTGCCCGAAGCGGCGAGCGAAAAACGAAGTTAATTTCGCCTGGATTTGTTTGGTTCATGGCCAAAGAAAATCCGCACGAAATTCACCTCGAAAACTGGAACGAAAGTCTCCAGGACACTCCGGCCCCTCCAATCGTTTTCCGACCGAAATCCGCTCTGCGATGTTGGCGCCATGAGAGTGGGAACCAAGAAGTGGGCAGCGTGTCGCGCGGTTTCAGCTCAAGCTTGTGGGTAGTTTCAGCATAGCGTTCCGAGTCAGCGGTCGGCACTGCAGCCCGGGAGGGGGTTGAATACTGGTGGTCGGTCCCTGCGCTACGGGAAAATGACTCAGAGGGAACACCTGCTTGAGATTGCACGGTTGTGACTCTGAGGTGCCATGTGCTGCGGTCCAGATCATGAGAAGACGGTAGGGGCCCGACCACAAGAAAAATCCCCCCAAAAACCCAACCCTGAGACCCCAGGGCGTCCATTGATTTTTGGCGTGGGAGCGTGACGCCTTCCATCGCAGCGCGATCGAAACCCAAGGAACCCTGGCACAGGGCACCCTGGAGGCAGGCCAGGTGCTTCCTGACATGGGCCTCCACTGTATTCGCTTCGAGCCCCTCCCGCTCCACGTCCGAGCCTGCCGCGCCGAAGCGCGGTGGGGGCGACACTGGCCCCGCGACGCGCGGAGCCAGAACTGCTGGCCGTGCGCTCCGATCGGGGCGACCTGGAGGGCCCACGGGGAGGCCGCGGCGCGCGCGGGGGGGCACCTCTCGACGTTAGCGCTGCTCTTTGGGTGACCCAAGAGGGGGTCCAGCTGAAAGGGAGTGGTGCGATAGATTTTGGGCAAGTGTGTTGCACATGTATGGCGCCGGAAGTCGAACTGCATCGTATTGCAAGTAACGCATTGCGCGCGACTATGCAGCACTACATGTGCGCCCTGGAATGTAATGCGCGCCCCAAATGTATTGCAGCCGCGCAAATCTATTGCACCAAATCTATTGCACCACCCCCCTTGTCGCTGGACCCCCTTTTGGGTCAACCCGATGTTCTCGGGGGGGGGGGGGGGCGACAGGGTCTACGATAGCAACGGGCAGGGCAGAGAAGCAGCTCGCGCAGCTGGTCTTCCTGGTGCCTCCTGGCGCGCGCCCATGCATCGAGGAATGGGCCCGGCGGCGGGGCCGAAACCATGATGGGCCTGATTTTCACCACCACCACCACCATAAGTTGGAGGGGGAAGGAGGTGGAGGACAAGCACTCCACCTTCTGGTGGTGGTGGTGGCGTGGAGAACAGGCCCATCAAACCAGCTGCATGCAGCAGATTTCGTATACCCCCCCTTCCCCTATCCTGCCCCCTCGTCCGGCCCGGTGCTCGCGGGGGCGAGAGAGCGGAGCGGGGAGCGCGAGGATGCTGGGCTCCTCTGGGATCCCGCCACTCTGGCCGAGACTGGAGCGCGGAGACTAGGCACCAGGATATCCAATACATACACAGGACGACGATTTTTTTTCAGGAAACCCGCAAGGCGCCACATGTCTCCAATACATACACAGGACGAATGATCTTCCTCTTGAGGTGAAAATGGCCATGAGGAGTTCGCGAGGCAACGTCGGCACCGCCGAACGGACGGCGACCGGACGGGCTGTTTGCAGCAACCGGGGGGAGAGGGATGTATGCATTCATGTTGAATGGGGCCCGCTCGCGCGGGGAGTTGATGGGAGTGCGCGAGACGACGCAGGGCCCATCGTGGAAAGTTGATTACCGAACCCCCCTCCCCCGTAGAATCTTTACACGGGCGGTTTGCGGGGTCCGCGGATCCGATTTCTTGCGGTCCTCTGCTGAAATTTGACAGTACAAATTTAGAACAGGGTAGAAATCGGATCCGCCGTAAAAACTAAGGTGGGACGCGGATCCAGGAAAATCCGAAATCGAAACCGCGCAGACAGAAATCGGATCCACCGAAACACAAACCAAAACAAACATTGGATTCGCGCGAACTTCACTGGATCCGACGGCGGGTATCTCGTACGCGTCTGCTCAAGACTTCAAACCTTCGCTCCGGGCCCAAAAGGAAAAAACTTTCGTCCTGGGAATGTATTTTCTCGTCTTTTATGGATGTTCGTCTTCCCCCCCCCGGGGATCGACGATTCACGTGTCTGTGTGTGCTTTGCCCCTCCTGAGGAAACCGCTCTGCCCAGGCGCGGGGCTCGAGGTAACCATTAGGTCGGGTATGTCCCCCTACAGGCGGATTTTGGACGACAGAAAAATAGTCAAAAGATTCCCCCAAAGGATCAAGAATAATCGAAACATCGTCCCCCGACTATTTTGTACTATTAATGAATAATTCCTCGTGTAGAGGGACACGCTCGACTTAAGGTAAACGGTGCTTTTCGTTGTCGCTTTGCTTTCGTTTTCCCTCGTCCTGTCCTCGTTCTTCCTATGGTGCAAAACGAACTGAAAACGAAAACGGCCAACGAGATCGCCTAACAAAAACCATGTGGCTCGAGCCCTGTCCAGACGGAGCGCCTGCCGACCTTCCGCTCCACCGCCTGCATGGTCCATGCGGCGGACCTACGCTGAGGCGACGGGCTGGCCAACCACGCGCTGCTCTCGAGGTCGGCCTCAATGCGAGGGGCCCCGCGCCCGCTGCCCTTCCAGGAGAAGGATGACCTGCACAAACATGATGAAATGTCCGACGGTCCGCGCGGATTGCTTGGATCTGCGCTGGCCATCCCTCCCTGGCGCGCGGAGCGCGCCGTGGGCGGCGCCAGAGGCGCCGCCAGGGGGGCCCAGCGCCGAGCCGAGAAATCCGCGCGGCGCTCCATAAGCATCTGCTTATGCAACTGTTTTTCTTCGACTGAGTCTGAGGGGTCCCGAGCCTGCTGCCTTTCGCCAGGAGGCGCCGGCCTCGGACGGCCACGTGGTCGAAGGCTGGTCTGCCGCGGCCACGCGGGATGCCACGGTCTCGGTGCACGCGCGCTCCGAGGTGGCCCTCTGGCGCGCGCCGCGGCAAACTGTCAGCATCCTCTCTACAGCCATCGTGCGACCGGATGGAACGCAGAATAGGGAACGAAACGGCTTTTCTGTCCTCGGCGGGCCTATGCCATGAACAGGTTCCACTACCTAAGTCTCGGGAACGGCCCGAAAACCCGCGCCCGTCCTGAGCCCAAAGATGTCCGTACTTCAACGTCTTGGCTGTGTACCTCCCCTTCCCCAAATCGCGACCGCTGCTCAAACCAAAGTAACCGCCCTCTGCCGCCCCCTCCCCCACCTTTCGGACGAGGGGGAGGTCGGGGGAGGACGGAGCAGCAGGTGCACACAGAGACATCCGCCGACCGATGTTTCAATCCACTGTCCCCAAGGCCACGACCCCTTTCCACGGGGGTAGTTCTTCGCGCCGAATCCATTCCTGGTGGTCCTGACGTCCGCTGGCGGGCCCCGAGGCCGACATGTAGGACAAATGCCCAGATCGAAACATTCAGATCGTCGGACATCTGGGAATGGAAGAGCTAGGGATAGCCGATTCTGGTCGCCTCCGTCCCCCACGGGCACATCGTTCAAGTAGAGCAGCAGGGTTGCCCGGCGGAAAAGCCTCGGCGAGCGGGTGCGCACGCGGGAATCTCCTGTGGCAACTCGTGGGAGCCTCCGCTACCATCTTGGTGGCTCTTGCGAACCGACGCCGGCCGACGCTAGTCGATGCTAAACCGACGCTAACCTGGCGCTCATAAGCGCCAATGGCGCTCATAAGCGCCAAACCGGCGCTTCCTCGTCGATTGCCAGACTAAGCGACGCAAGCACACTCTAAAGACAGAGCTACGAGGGCATGTAAGCTTCTCACGCGTTGCCACCGAACGAGTAGGGCTGGCGTCGCAAAAATAGCATGCAATGCCGATCTCCGAAGAGCACGCTATCCCTGCGAAGCGATCCCCCCGCGAGGGCCCCCCCTTCGCAAGCCATCGCCTTGCGAGGGCCTCGTCGGTTCACGCTATCCCCTGCCAGGGATTCCTCGGCGCACGTTGCCCTCAGGGTGGGGGACGGCGTGTCCTAAGCGGGCCGGCTGCGCCACATCGCACGCTACCTCTGCATAGTGCCAACCGTGGATGATTGACGCCAGTGGCGCTCGAAGGGCCGAGCGCGGGATGCACGTCGGCGGTGCCATGCGGACCCTGCCACTGGGACCTTCGGTTGAGCTCCCTATGGGGCCACGAACCGTTTCAGGGGTGTGCCAAAATTGGGCGGCGGTGCCATGCGGACCCTGCCACTCGGGCCTTCGGTGGAGCTCCCTACGTATGGGGCCTGGGAAGGGGGGAGGGAGAGGGAGGAGGGGGAGGAAGGAGGCGGGAGGAGAACGCGGGGCGCCGTCTCTTCAAAACGAAGACCCAACGCCACAGGATGGTTGGTAAAAACACGGCGGACCATTTCTCGCTATTTTCAACGTCTGGGAGCCCTTGCCGAACCACCGGACCGTCAAACAAAGACTCAGGACGAAAAACTGGTCTCGGGAATTGGGTCGAGGCCCCTGGGGATCGACGTTGTGAAGTTAGCCTGGCGAAGAGCCCAACCCATTCTCAAAAAGAGCAAATATGAACAGGACCACTCAATATACACAAGAATGCGTCGAGGGGCCTGCGGTTCCCATGAACGCTTCGCCAAACACGTCAAACCAAGCACGACGTTCTGCATTCATTCACGCACTCTCACGAAGCCATGCGAACGCACCCGCTGGGGCCATAGGTGGAGCTCCCTCGGGGGCAGCAACTGTGTGAAGGGTGTGCCGCAATGGGCGCGGGGACGCCATGCGAACGCTCTCGCTGGGACTCCTCCTCCTCCTCCTCCTCCTCCTCCTCCTCCTCCTCCTCCTCCTCCTCCTCCTCCTCCTCCTCCTCCTCCTCCTCCTCCTCTCCTCCTCCTCCTCCTCCTCCTCCTCCTCCTCCCTCCTCCTCCTCCTCCTCCTCCTCCTCCTCCTCCTCCTCCTCCTCCTCCTCCTCCTCCTCCTCCTCCTCCTCCTCCTCCTCCCCCCCCCTCCTCCTCCTCCTCCTCCTTCCTCCTCCTCCTCCTCCTCCCTCCTCCTCCTCCTCCTCCTCCTCCTCCTCCTCCTCCTCCTCCTCCTCCTCCTCCTCCCCCTCCTCCTCCTCCTCCTCCTCCTCCTCCTCCACCTCCTCCTCCTCCTCCTCCTCCCCCTCCTCCTCCTCCTCCCCTCCTCCTCCTCCTCCTCCTCCTCCCCCTCCTCCTCCTCCTCCTCCTCCTCCTCCTCCTCCTCCTCCTCCTCCTCCTCCTCCTCCTCCTCCCGACTCCCGAGAGACGACATCGCGAGGGCACACGAGGCTCCCGCGACCTGCTGCCGAGCCCGCCCCGTCCGATGGGCGCGCGGGCGCGGCCGAGGGCGGGGCGAGTCGTGGTGGAACTCGTAGTCGGCGGGCCCCGCCAGGGGGCCGTCGGGCGTGCGAGGGGGGCGCGCCGCGCGGAGGATCAGCTCCAGAGGCGCCCAGGGAGGCACAGCCAAGTAGACACGCGTTCCAGGATTTCCCCAGACGGTGGGGGCACTGGATAAGGAATCCAGGGTCTGGAAGCCAGCGAAACTCCACTCGCGGATTGGCCATGGATGTCGTCACCGCTCAAGCCAGGTATGGGATCCTCCAGGGTCTGAATCATCCTGGACACATTCCTTCATGAACGCCCCCACAGTCCCCACCGTGTCCATGTGCTCTGAGTTCTCGTCCTCCCCTCCGCCAAAGGAGCGACGATCAGAAACGCGGCACGGTGCCTTGGAAACGAGGGCGCTTACGCGCAACCTGACGCGAGCAGCTTACATACGCGCCAATGTCGGCGCAGACGAACCCGTTCTTTTGCGTCGCTCACATGGGAATCGAAGTTTCTGGTGTTTGTGCTTGATGTCCCCTCCCGAAGCTGAGCGCGGGACCCAGAGATCCGAGGCTCCGACAAAAATTAGATGGGCCGCCGGTGTCGGTGGGAGACGAAACAACTGCATACGCAAGCAGAAACTTTCGGGGCTCAGCGCGGATTTCTTGGATCTGCGCTGGGGGGCCCTGGAAGCGCCTCCGGCGCCGCCCCTGGCGCGCTCCGCGTGCCAGGCAGGGGAACCCAGCGCATATCCAAGAGAAATCCGCGCGGAACTCCAACAATTTATCTTTGTGTAGCTTCTTCTTCTTCTGCTTCAGTTTGGGTTACTTTCGGCCAGCAGGAACTCCAGGAGCCTTCAACGGGCCCCAGGACCGTCAACAAAAACGGCGGAGGAAGAAAAACATGTACCAGGGAAGTTGTCCAGACCTCCAGGAGTCCACGCATCGGAACAATTGGAGCGTTCGATGTCTGGGGAGTGCGCCTATCCAGATCGCCGACGACACGACTTTGTGAATCGCGGCCTTTCGTCGACCTCGGCCTCCTGGGAGCCCGTTTCGAGCCCTGAGAGCCATCGGAACTGGATCGCTGGGTGAAAGATTGCCCCCAGACAAGCGGTCGCGACCTCTGGGGTGGTGCGCTGAACAAAAACACATAGGCGGATTAGGGGGCCACATGCGAACCCTACCCCTACCCCCCACGATTTCTGAGGGGGAGGGTGGGGTTCACTTCGCTCGGGAGCCCCTCCTCCTCCCCTCCCCGTTCCTCCTCCTCCTTCTCCCCTTCCCCCTGGCCCGCAAGATGTAGATTAGAGAGCAGGCGTGCCGCCTTCTCCCGCGAAGCGGTGAGAATAGCTGGCAGTGTATTTCTTCGTCCACGCGCTCCGTCGTATGGCTTGCCTGAATCCAAGGTTAGGTCATTGGGCCGTGCATCCTGTGGACGCGTAGGTAGAGGAGCACTTAAAAAGTTATGGTGGTGCACCAATTGCGCCCCTGATGCAGTCAAAGCAGTCCGCCAAACGCGTTGCAGCCCAATGATTCCTCACATCCCCCCATCTGACTTGGATTGCCGTCTTTCCCTCCACTTCCAATATTTCCCCACACTTGCCTGGGAATCGACGATAATACATATATACATGTGTATATATATGTATGTATAGACGCCTCCTGGATGGGGTTGGAAAAGATGTGGTCGGAGGATCGCGCCGCATCGCCGATACATCAGCAATGCATCGGCGATGCCTCGGCGATGTACTGGCGATGAGTCGGCGACGTCAGCGACGCATCCGCGACGTCGGCGTGGGGATCATCGGGCTCCACATCGAGCCGTACCGCTGATGCGTCGGCGATGCGGCGCGATCCTCCGACCCCATCTACTCGGACCCCCTGGGGGACCTAGATATATATATATATATATAATATAGATGTATGTAATATGTATAGTACACATAATGTACACATATGTATACACATTTGTATATATATATATAAATACATACATACATACATCTATATATATATATATATATATATATATAGATGTCTCTGTGCGTGTCTGTCTGTGTGTGCGTGTTTTCTTTAGCTCCCGGAGAGTGGCCAGAAGGAGCCCGAGGAAACCCTGGCAAGGCGCGCGCCGCTTCGGTCCCCTGAGGGAGGGGGGCCCCGAGCCGCGCCGGGTGCCCGGCCTGGCCACACGGAGGAGGAGGAGGAGGAGAAAGGGAGGCGGATTAGGAGGAGGAGGAGGAGGAGGAGGAGGAGGAGGAGGAGGAGGAGGAGGAGGAGGAGTGAGGAGGAGGGGGGGGAGGGGGAGGAGGAAGGAGGAGGAGGAGGAGGCGGAGGGGCGGAGGATGAGGAGAAGAAGGAGGGGGAGGAGGAAGGAGGAGGAGGAGGAGGAGAGGGAGGAGGAGGAGAGGAGGAGGGAGGAGGAGGAGGGAGGAGGAGGAAGGGGGGGGGGGGGGACGGAGGAGGAGGAGGAGGAGGCGGAGGGGGAGGAACATAGAAGGGGGGACACAAAAAAAAAGGAGGGGGAGGAGGAGGAGGAGGAGGAAGGAGGAGGAGGAGGAGAGGAAGAGGAGGAGAGGAGGAGGAGGAGTTTTAGGAGGAGGAATTAGGAGGAGGAGGATATTAGGAGGAAGGGGAGGAGGAGGCGGAGACAGAGGCGGAAGCGGAGGCGGAGGCGGACGCGGAGGCGGAGGCGGAGGAGAGGAGGAGGAGGAAGAGGAGGAGGAGGAGGGGGAGGAGGAGGAGGAGGGGAGGAGGAGGAGGAGGAGGAGGAGGAGGAGGAGGAGGAGGAGGAGGAGGAGGAGAGGAGGAGGAGAGGGAGGAGGAGAGGAGGAGGAGAGCAGCGGAGAGCAGCGGCAGGACGTCGCGTCGGCCAGGCCAACTAGACGCAGCACAGGCGGCCAGGGGGCCGCAGCCTCAGGGGAGGCCAGTGATGCCGATCACGTCGACGGACGCGAAGGGCGGCGCGCTGGGGCCAGACCGCCGCGCAGCGCCGTGCGGCGAGCCGCTGGGGCCAGAACGCCACGCAGCGGCTGCCCGTGCCAGGAGAGGCCGACCCTCAACCACTTCTCCGTCGCCTCCTGCGTCCCGCATTCCACGGCACCGAAGGCGCTCTGAGCGGGCCAATGGGCGGTGGCTGCCCTTCCCGCCGCAGCTCGGCCAGCCACGTCCGCAGGCACACGTAGTCGTAGCGCCGCATGCAGTCCGACACGATCCTCTGCGACCGCGTCAGCGTGTGGCGCCACCTGTAGTAGGCCCGCCTCGCGGGCATG